TTTGTTTCTCTTTGCTGAGAAAATAAAGATAAGAAGAAATATATATATAAATATATATATATATAAATATATATAAGATGAGTTGCTAAAATCTAAAGATACCTTTGTGGCTGTGCTCTTTGTGCCAATAGACCTTGCCGTGACCAAAAAGAGAAATGTAAATACTTTTATAAAATATAGGAGAATCACAAAGTACCTTTGGGTTGCTCTTTGAATTCTTGCCCTTGGCACCACTGCTCATTTTGTTTTAGGAGATGATTTGGACAGGAATTTAGAGGCTGTGTAAGAGAGTCTCCTTCTCTACCCCCTGTCCACCTTGCCAGGTCCGCACATACGTGTCTCCTATGCAAGATGCACCTTACAGGGAACATGGCAGAGAGTGGCATTGAACCAGTCATGCTTGGTTTCCTGTGTCCTTGCAAACTGCATCCCTGTAACTGCTGGGTGGTTACTGGAGGAAGCTTTTTCTTCCATTTGGAAATTGAAAGGCAAAGCTTGCTAACCCACAAGCACCTATGCCATCACTCAGACTCCCTAGCCCCCAACAATTGCACTTTCCAATGCCAATAGTAAATGGCACATCCCTCTCAGTGACACCACTAGATGAGGGGTCATGTGGTGATGCCTTGCTCCTGCTCAGGCTGTTGGCATCTGGGATTCTGTCCACACCGCAAAAGCAGTTTGCAGTAAGATGATGAGAGAAGGGGCCAGGAGAAAGTTTGGAACAAACAATTCTTTTGCTTCTAATTTTGACAATGCCATTTTTTTCTATATTGGAAACATACTCGTGTTAATTTTACATGTCCGGTTTTCACAAGTATGTGGTCATCAGAAATGTTAACTTTCAAGAAAAATCCCAAGCTCTCTTCGGCTATTGTTCCACGGGAATGGTTCTTCACACTTCAGTAAGGTGATGATGATGAGAAGCCAGGTGAATAAATCTCACACAAGAAAATAAGTCACAAAAGGCAAATCAAAAATAAAGACTGCATTTATGGGGTTTGTGTTCGTGGAGATCCTGTGTTTGTGGGTGTTTATTTTTTTTTCTTCAAGGAAAGTGGTCTGTACAGCATTTACACTTGTCAATGTTCTGCTTTTGTTACATCTCCCCATTGCGTTTGTGTGGTCTTTTGTATCAACCAAGATCTATATAACAACAACTGCTTTGTCTCGAATCCTTTTCCTCTGTGTTTCCAATTAAGTATCAAGACACATCTGCATATCCTATGAGATATTGAAATTCAAAAATGAGCAAATTACTCTCAAGAACTCCATATACTTTTGCCTCTTTCTCCAATTCATGTCTTAGTTAATGAAAATTTTGAACCCATCCTGGGAACTATATGATACAATAGTAAAAAACAAAGCTTGTGAACCAAACACCCTGAGTTCAAATGATCTACAATTTGATAGTTGTCATTAAACCTTCCATGCATAACTTTTTCCACTGTGCAACTGGAATAATAAACATATTTTTACCGTAGACCTTCTCTGTGGTTATAAGGAGACACCATGTGTTAGGCTGAGTACAGCAGCTAGTGTACAGGAAAAGCTTCATGAATGCTAACCTGTTTTTCCTAAACGGTCTCATTTTTGTTTCATTGCCAAACCAAGTTGTCTATTCCACTCATCTTTGACATTTTAATCTGCTCTCTTTAATCTATTTCTCCTGTCTTGTGATGAAAGCACCCTACCCAGTCACTTGTGTTCTGATATTTTCCTTATGCTTGTAGTTTTTGCAAACTTCCCCTTTTGGCCGTATCTTGGCCTTGCTAATAGCATTTGATGACTTCGACTGGACCAGGACGAAGTCCTTCATGTAATGTGAAGGTTCTGACCTCTGGGTTAATTTTCACCTATCATTTCCTGTTACACTCACCATGCCTTCCATTCCTCCTGAACTTCCCGCCTGCTGATGCTGTGCCCTTCCTGTCTGCCTTCCTTCTGTGTGAACTCTCAGTCTCTTTTGAGCCAAGTCATTGTTCTCCATGAAGCTTTATAGAATCTCAAAGTAGAAGTTGCCTTTTGTGCTCCCAATCTGCAAGTATCTCTTTCAGTCTTTCCCATATCTTACTGTTTCCTTAATGAAATAAGCATTTTAGAAAGGAGCATAGCATGCAAATAGCAGAAAACCGAGTCGTTCAGACCTAAGTGTACATCTCAACAACCAATGTACATCTAAATGTACATCTTATGCAAGACACACTCCAAGGACTCCTCTGAGCATGCTTCTCACCTGTGAAGTGGAAATAATTCCCACATAGTAGGGTCACTGTTACGCTCAAGGGCACTATGCACTGTCCCATTACCCACCCTTGGCTGCACTGATAGCTTTATTAATTATTGGAGCTTCTTAAGGGGCCAGGACCATGTCTTTTGGATCTTTAAGTACCTGCCTCTGCAAGATTTTTGCCAAATAGAGTAGTAGCACATAGAATTAGCAATGGTTTTTAAATTAGAACACAGTAATCTTCCTGTGGTCCTACCTTTGGTTCATGAAGGGCACCATTGTTAGTTTTAATTATTGGTCTCAATGACAATGCCCTAAACTCAGTGTTTATCACAAGCAGCATATCCATCTGGGTTTCCATTGCTTCAGCTGTAGGTCTAGAACATATCAACTGCAAATTGGCTAAGAATAAACCGGAAGTGAGTAGAGCTCCTAGTGATTAAGGAATATCACAAGTTCATGTACTAGTCCCCGTAGGTACTGTTTTAAAACTATTTGGGTAACTAAACTGCGGTAGCTTTTTGTCACTGTGACAAAATACCTGATAATAAAAACATTATTGGATGGGGGTGTTAGAGGTTCCAGCCTATAATCAGCTGGCTCCATGGCTTCTAGGCCTGTGAAGAGGCAGCAATATCACGGAGGAAGGGCACAAGGGGGGAATGCAGCTCAGCTACGGCAGACCCGAAGAAGCAGCATGTGAGCCAGCCAGAGGCCTGTCCAGCTTCCTCCTTCTCCGGCCTTAGTTGTATCCAGGCTCCCGGCTATTGCATGGTGCCAGTCACATTCTGGGCAGGTTTTCTTCATCAGTCTGCTATCCCTCATGTCAATCACCTACAGAAACGCCCAGACACATTTAGAGGCGTGCTTTTGTGGAGAACCATTTCAGGATGATTCAAAGCCCTGGATACCCGAGCACCCTGTGAGGATGTGACCCCACCCTCTAGCACATGTGCCCTGTGGGACACGCTCATGTAACAATGATTTAGCACAGGCAGTCACAGATGTGCAACATGATTCATGCCAGGACACAGTACTGTAATGCTTGATAACGACCAAAATAAGGGCTAAGGGATAAAGGCACACTCTTCTTCATATTACTGCTGATGTGGGCTGTGCATGCTTTCTCTACCCTGGGGACCTCGCCTACCAAAATACCCCTTCAGCCACCCTGCAGCTCTGACACACGCCTGTGGGAACAGCTCCTGGCAGGGAAGGGGAGCCCCCGGGAGTTGCCCATATGGATCTCTGGCCTTGCTTTGGCTACCTGTGGCCACACTTTTGGCATTAGGGAAAGCCCTGAGGATGAGGAAACATTCTGCCTGACACTCAGAGACACATTGAAGACCTTAGAAGTGCTAGATTACAAATTCCTCACCCCTCCTTGAGTCGGTGGGGTGGGTGGCTTGGGTATTTACACACACACACACACACACACACACACACACACACACACACACGAGGCAAGAGGCAGAAGACATTTTCCAGCAATTGGGCCAATTACAACAAACAGTAGAATCTGCAACAATTGGCTGCCACAGGTAGCCTCCTCCCCAAGCGTAAGTCTCCATTACCAGGAGCGCCCCCAGCACTGCACGCAAGGCCGACTGTTCAGCAACAGGTGGAAATAGAGGAGCCCTTGGAAAGGGGGATCAAAGAGAACCACCTACATCAATCCGCACAGCGTATGTGACCCACACAGCCATAGAGTTGCCAGAGCCGACACGACAGAAAGCAGAAAGCAGGGCTAACATTTGCTCTTCTAGCCAACAGGTGGGTAAAGTGGCAGCCCTGCAGCTGTACTGACACACACTGCGTGGTGGCTCAGAAAAGAGGGCGCTTCAGCTCTGCATGCTTTCTTTATCCTGGAGGCCTCACCCATGAAAACACTCCTTCAGCTGCCCCTCGGCCCTTACAGCTATACCTCACAGGTGTTTCTCAATCCAATCGAACAACCCTCAGATTACCCTGCTGAAAGGGTGTTCCAGCTCTTAGAGCACAGTGAAGAGCTCTGCCCGCCACCTCATTTGACCAGGAGCAAGACAGCATCATGATTACCAGCAGAGGTCGGAACCCTATCCCATTCCCAGGGACACCAGTTTCCCCCAAGGAAAGGGCATCGAAAGCATCCTTTCTGCTGTGAGATTATTCAACTCCACCTGTGGTCTGCGAATACCGTCTAAATACTTACCTGCAACTGGCCACCATCGCTGTCCATGTCCATGCTGATGACTGCTGGGTGCTGAAGGTACGAGGGGCTTGGGTCACAGGCCGGTGAACTGAAGGCTGTGGGCAGAGTGCCCCAGGGTACTTCAGCTCCAAAGATTGGGCTATATGATGTACTAAAAGATATGTATGCAGTTGTGTGGGTAAAGCTGAGGAAGACACAGTGAAACTGAGACTTTAATGTGATTTCTAAAGGACAAATAGGAAGTCAGCACATAGAGCAGTGATTCCAGCAAGGGACTTTCCTTGCCCATGGATCAGCAAGTGCAAAGGAGCTTTAAGGCAGACCTCAGGGAGCCTTTTCAACAAAAGGAAAACTGACTTGTTGCACCTGTTCCACTCTGCCCCATCAGCACATGGTGAGGCCCAGAGGCTCGCAAATCACTCGGAGAAAGCAAAGCTGAAAACATTTTGCCTTGTTTGAACTTAC